TGAGTGCTGGGATTACAGGCATTTACCACCATGCCCAGCCCCACATTTGTTTCTTACAACTAGACTATTAAACAACTTCATGTTATTGATAAGCAAATAATATCTCCTAATTTTCCCCAAATAACAAAGCTAGAAATTAGTTACATGTATCACTGACTAAAGAATTGTCTTTTTGGAGCCATTGTCTCCCAAGATCTGTGCCATGTTGGAACTTAGGGCGCTGGGAAACCAAGCAACCAGCTCGCCTCCCTGGTAAGCAGCCATGTCTCAGGCAAACAGCAGCCACCACAGGGAGAGAACCACCCAGGGTGTCCCAAGATCCACGCCATGTTGGAACTTAGGGCACTGGGAAACCAAGCAACCATCCCATCTCCCTGGTAAGCAGCCATGAGCCTCCCATCACACAGGCTGAGAATCAAACATCCCATGCCCCCCCCCCCACTCCCCGCCTTGGGAGGTTGACCATATGCAATATAGCAAAAAGGATGTAGAAGAAGAGCCATCTCTTTGAAGACAAATATTGTTATCTCTGTTTTGCTTTGTTCTGATTAATGGTATTGCTCTATTCAATATTCTGTTTTGATAAGTTCTATAATGTTCTGTATTTTATTTGATTTTGCCATACCTGATTGAAGATAATGAGATATACTATGGCACCTATTACTGTTATCCCAGTAACCTGCTGCGATGTTCTGTACCAATTTCACTCTCCTGTCTCAATTGGCTGTGTTCTGTATTATTCTATTTCACTACCTTCCAAACAAACAAACAACTAAACAACAACAAAAACAATAGAACATGAGAAAACAAGGTAACAAAATACCTCCAAAAACTCCCAACTCCACCAAAGGTGATCCATGGGGCATGGATGAGGAGAAACTCAGAAACAAAACAACAGAATTATATAAGGTGATTAAACAGGAAACAACAACAACAAAACAGATCAGTAAGGTACTGAGCAAGCTGAAACATGATATAACTAAACAGATAGTGGACTTAAAAAGCAAAAGGAAGAAAAGAAAGTTCTCTAAAGGATATGACTGCATGTATGTTTAAGTGTGTAGAACTGATAACCAGATTACTGTTTTTGTTGGATCTTTGAACAGAACTGTTTGCAGTCTCACTGCTTGAATGTCCACTTTGTATGCTTTAATTTTGTAACTTGAACAACTATTTCTAAGAGAACAATATGTAATTTATCAACTAGTGACTTCTTACTGGTTTTTTTTTTTTGAAATTCTGTATTATTTCTACCCTTCTGTTTTGCTCTTTAAATAAAATGTTTTAAAAAAGAATTCTCTTTTCTATTATTGTCCTGCTCAGATTACCAGGTATACATTAAAAGTCACAATGTGCTAAAAGGGATGTAGAAGAAGAGCCATGGACTTCAAAATTGTGTAATCTAAATCCAAGATCCATAAACACAAAATTCGAGAAAAACTGACAAGAAAGTATAATCCGGGGCTACAAGAAATGTATTACCATTAGCCTAATCCTAGAACACTTTCTAGGAAAGGAGAGAGACAGCATGGTACTGCAACACAATTAAGCTATGAATGAATAAAACATTCATATCATAAGAATGGGCCTCCCTCATTGGGCATGGGGGCACATTCCTGTAATCCTAGTATTTAGGAGCCTGAAGCAACAAGATCACTGCGAGTTCAAGACAAACCTGGGGTACAAAGTAAATCTGAAGCCAGCTACACACCAAGAACCTACCTCAAAGAAAAGAAAAAAAGAAAGAGGCATTCCTGTGAGTCCAACAATTTGAGTTCATTCTAGCACATTTGGGGGATGTGGCAAACACACATCAAGTAGGGCTGGGGATCTAGCTCAGTGGCACAAGTGCCCACCTGGCAAGTACAAGGTCCTGAGTTGCACCCTGGTACCCAAACAAAGAAACAAACAAAAAAATCAAATATAGCTAGGCATGATGGGACATGCCTATGAATCCCAGTACTTGAGAGGCTGATGAAGGAGGACTGCCATGAGTTCAAGGCCAGCCTAGGCTACATAGTGAAGATTCTGTCTCAGATATATATGTATATATGAATTTGATTCTATTTTACCTTTGAACGAACTTGAGTTTCAGAGAGTAACAGCAATTAGACAAAGAATCTTAACTCAGGTAAAAGGTTCCACCCCCTGTAGAAACTAAACATGAAAAATCTTTCAATTTACCATAACAGAAAACAGAACTAAATACAATTATTTGCTGTCATCTTTATCATCCTATTTGCATTAAATAAATTTAACTTTTTACCACTATTTTTACTTTCAATTGATACGTCAATAGCTCTAAATAAGAAAAAGAAAGACTATGCCCCTCTTTTCCTTGCTACCTTGTTGCTCCTTGGTTTGCAATCTTTACTGAGACATCTGAGAACCAAATAGTAACTATTCTACCCAGCAATGAACTTGAAAACTTAAAAACAAAACAAGTCTTCATTGTTTTTCTTTTGGCCACCAATAACATTTTGAACACAACAGTGAAGAGAAACACAAGGTCAGGAAACTCCAAAAAGAAACAATAAAGGTCTTAGATTCTTTTCCCAACCTATCCCATTAGCAACCTTCTGACCACTATTTGTTAATACTAAATTATCCCCATGTAGAAAGCAATTTCTCTAAAGCTCTGCTTATCTGTTTAGCAAGTACATTGTACTGAATGGTGACAGGAAAAGAGAAATGAAGTGTTTTTCCTGCCTTGGTCATGTTAGCACCTTTCCTCTCCACTTTTACCTCCACCAGTCTTTTCTTCCATAGATACACTATCACCTAAAATCAAACATTACTTTTCATTGCCTTTATTTATTACATAAAATGTCTTATCAATTTAAAGAAATATAAAACAATGTAAATCACTGCAAAGTATTTCACTAACACATAAGCCCCCTTTTCCAATCTTAAAAAGAGTAGATAATTACCAAAAGGAGTCACTGTTACCTTAGCATGGAGATCTGTAATGTTGTTTTCCTCTCCTTTTTTAAAAATACAAATACCTAAATCCAGTGTGGTAGTGTACACCTGTAATCCCAGCACACTGGGAAAGTGAAGCAGAATAATCACAAATTCAAGCTTGTGAATTTACTGAATCTGATTCTGATTTCAGAATCACAAGATTCGGAATTTAGCAAGATCCTGTTTCATAATAAAAAATTTTAAAAAATAGTCTGGGAATGAAGTTCAGGGATCAATACGCAGCACCACAGAAGAACAGCAAGAAGTCCTTTACTGTTTGGGAAAATATAACCTGATCTTTTTTGTATGTGTCAATAATGTCAGTTTTAAAATTTTTTTATCACTGTCTTGACACTATTATGATGCTACTGATCAACATTACTACCTTTGTATCCTAGATAAGACCACTTATTGATTTTGCCTTTGAAAGCTAATTTGAGAAACACGTATACAGAAGTTTTGCTCATCTTAGATGTTTTCTACCTAAAAATGTAGCCCTCTCACCCTCTTCTCCACATTTCAGAAGCTAACCTGAATTTATTCTTTAGTACTTTAGCTTGTGAATTATCACCTCTGTACAAATCACAGTGCTTGTCAACATTAACACATAAACCTCCTTGTTTCGACCGTCTGAAGAGTCCCTATATAGTCTGATGTGGGAAGGTCTAATTTGGTGGCATATAATAAATGGTTGTTTACACAGAATATATGCTCCTGGGGTTCGATTAACTTCTGAATGATTTCTTTTTCTAAGAGGAAAGTAATTCTCTTTGGCGTCTTAGTCATACTGGACTGGAAATCTCTCTAGTGGCAAGAATAAGTAATCACTTACAGGACCCCAAGAGGGCTCTGCCTTGCATTTTCTTCAACTGCTCTCCAAGTGGTGATGGTAATCGATAGATTACCATAATCTCCAGACCTGAGTGCTAAATCAATCCTGCGATTTCCGTCCCCTACTTTTTCATCCCACTCGTCTCCATTCCCCCACCCCGTTTCTGGCTCATTTTTCCTAAGCCATGATACCCTGTGAGGTTTTAATTTCTACAATCCACAGATAAAACTCCCCTATGAGCCTCAAAGCTTCCTTAAAGCAAAACTCAGAAAAGACCTTTGTGTGCGATCAACTTAACTTTAGCAACTCAAAAAGTTTCGCTACAAAATATATAGGTTGATTCAATAACTCACCCAAAAAATCAGGAAGGTTGAAACAAACACCGAAAAACTAAAGGAGATATCCGACGAGGGCCCAGGGCCTGAAATGCGACACCCAAGATGACAGAGCAGCGCGGGGCGAAGGAATTCTCCAGGGTTTCTAGGGTCAGGAACCACTTAGGCCCAGCGGGGACGCTCTCCTTGGCCGGCTGCGCCAGTCCAAGCACTCCGCGAGGCCACCCTAGCCGACTGCCCTACGCCCCGGCTCGGGGGAGGGGGGGGGCGGGCTCCGAGAGGTCCCACCCCACCCCACCCCACAGCACCGCACCACACTGCACTGCACCCCAGGGGGCTGCGCGCCAACGCCCCGCCCCCTGCAGAGAAGCGGTTCCAGAGAAGGGGCGTCTGGGGGTCACAGCGGGCGCCGGCGGCTAAGGGAAAGCCAGGCCCAAGGGGCCGCAACAGGTGCACCAGCCGCCCACCCCACCCGGCCCCGCCGCCCGGCTCTGCGCCGCCCGAGCCCGTCCTACCTGCAGCGCCGGCCGCCGAGCCCCGGAGCTCGGCCAGGCCCCGCTGCGCTGGTCGCCCGACGCTCGGGCGGTCCCGACAGACACCTTGGGACTGCGACGGCGGGGCCGAGGCGCCCACTCCGGAGGCCCGGGGGAAGGGCGCAAGGACCCCCAGAGAGTCCCCACTGCACGACCAGGCTTCCGAAGCAGTGTCCTTCTCTGGCCACCCGGCCGTCGCCTTCACTCGGTGCCCCCAACAACGCGCGGGCCTTAGCGCTCGCAGGCGTTTTCTCTAGGCTTTTGGTCCCTTCCTCTCGCCGTCCTACTGGCCCCTCCTCCCAGGTCCCCGGTTGCCAGGGTAACTCGAGAGACGCCTGCTGTGGAGCAGGAGTGTTAGAAGGGCGGCGGCGCCAGGGCTTGGCCCGCGGGGCCTGGCAGCACCTGATCATGGAGCCCCAGAGTAAGGGCGGCTGGGCTGGGGTGGGCCTCGGCCTTCGGGTACCAGGAGGGGCCCCCACGCAGCTCTACAGGCTTTATTGTATCTGACAGGCACGTTCAGTTTGCGTCTTCGCTAGTCCGTTTCTCAGCTAACGGGAAGAGAGAAGAGGACTGAGTCCTGCTCTCTGGGGTGGGCCGAGAGAATTTCCGCCGGAAGCCTGAAGGACCGGAGGATGAGTGCCCGCAGAGTGTTCCCTCCTGAGGTTCTCCCCCAAGCAATTGTATTTAGTGTTACTGTTAGCACCTGTACCATTATTTCAGTTTAGTTGTTTGGTGGTTAATTCTAAATAGCCCGTCTTGCTTCTAAAATCCAAGCAATCAAGTATGGGACAAAGCTGGATTTTGAATTGATGAGAAGCCATTTCCCCCAACCCCTTAATCGTCTGTTATAAGGACGTGGGATGAACTTTCTCCAAGCACATATAATTTATTCTTACCTGTATTTAATTATTGTACCTGTACGAGATTAGATATGGCAAGAAAAATATTTTTACTAATTCTGCTGTTCCACGGTTGTTTTTTGATGTATGACCAAAGGTGTACAGTTTACTTATTAGATCTAACAAGATCTGTAACTCACTGGTTTATTCCCCACCCCTACCCCCGTGTTTCCAGGGGACTTTGTTCCAGGCCCTTGTCTACATATCTCCACCTAAATTGTTTTATTGCTCCTTTTTGTTCTTCAAATAAGGACTGTTTTATATAGAGACTTGAAAGATCTTAAAACTTGATTGTGAGAGGGTACAGTTTGACTCTTAAAACCTTGTCGACTTGTCTTACACAACTTCAGAAATAAAATACTCAAGCTAAATCCAAGTTTTCTCTGGGAGGAATGGCATTTGTAAATGTCATTTATTTCCAACAATAACAAAAAAAATTTTAAAGACTTTCTCCTTTACTTTAACTCATTTGCTAAGGAGCAAAGTTCCAAATTGGGAAATATAGTTGGCTTAGATTGGTAGGATTTTTATACAGTGTTTCTTTGCATTTATAACTCCTTGGATTCTGCAATTTTTACCTAATCTATTGAAAGAAATTCAGCATACATAATGCTAAAATTTTTCTGGACTAATTTCAAACTAATATCAAGTTGTGTATGTTTTATCCATAAAGAAATGGTTTGAAGTGATATGTATATTTTAAAAACAACAGCTTTATTTCTGCCAATTTATCTTTGTTTTCAAAATCTTTAGTGTTGTATTTATTCATTCATTCATTGTGCCAAATATGCTCTGTTCTAGGAATTGGGGATTGGATGATGAATAGGACACTGTCAGTTTCATCCATCCCAGGAAACTAAGCAGAGAGTCAAAAATTACTGAAAACTCTCTGAGACTAGGGAAAAGGCAAACAGAAGGCTCCCAGGAGGAGACAGAACTAGATCCACAAAGGGCCTGGCAAAGAAAAGGGAGAACAATTTTTAAAGGAAATCATTGTGCATAGGTCCCCAGACCTGAGGGAGCAGCAGGGTTCAAAGCTCAAGAGCAGGAAGATTAAGATCAGGGGTTTAGCTCAGCAGGCATAAATGCCTGCTTGGCAAATGCAAAGTCATGAGTTTGATCCCCAGTACAAAAAATAAGAGAAGAGTAGGAAGAGTAAAGTTGTAGGCAGTAGGAGAGTGAGAGATTCTCCTGCCTCAGCCTCTCAGGCATGTGCAACATTACCTGGCTCAGCTCATTGGATTTTGAAGTGGAAAATATTTATAAAGCAATTTGTGCCTGGGGTACAACTAGATTTATTCCTTTTCATATGTTCTTATTTTTATTAATTTAATTGTAAATAAATTCCATTACCATTTACCTTAGGAGATTCTTTTCCAGTCTACTAAGCATCAGTTGGGATAAATATTTACTAACTAAGCAATTTGGTAAATATTTAAAAGGATAAGGCTAAGTTATCTCTAAAGTTTTTTTTAACTTCCAAGATTTATATCTAACTAAATTTTACCCAAGACTAAAGTTAGTTCTCCCAGGGGCTGGGGATTTAGCTCAGCAGCATAAATGCCTGCCTTGCAAGCAGGCAGTTGTGAGTTCGATCCCTGGTACCGATAAAAATGAAAAAGACCAAATAAATAAATAAAGTTAGTTCTCCCAAAGGTAATGGAAGCACTATGGATATAATACTAGCAAGTATGTAGTTACAGTGATACTGTTGTCAGTATTCTATTAGCATTATATCTTTATAATGTTGGTAATATTATGGGACATGTTTTAAGTTTGGTAATTATATGGCACCTTTTGTTATTGAAGGATTTCAAATAATATTTTAAAAGAATAAATACAGCATCAGTAAATTGATTAAAAGGAAGGATTCTTCTTAATTGTTTTTAAAAATTAAACATGTGTCTAAAACAGCAGTAAAGAACTACTAGAAATAACCCTGAAGTGATTTGTATCCATTTTATTTCCACACACTTAGTTTTCTATTACTTTTAGGAATGACCTTTGTTAACTAAGTCATTAAAATCCAATAAACATAAACTCTCAAACCCCATGGCTGGATCATATTCTGGCAACAAGCAAAGGATGACAGGGGCTACCACTGTTTTATAGAATAATAAGTCAGTGGACCAAGAAATGATTCCTTAGGGGAAATTAAATAAGTTCACAACCTTGGGCTGTTCAGAGCGGTTGGGGCTTTCATCTAGCACATTTGTGTTTTTATTTTTTTTCCTAAATTAATTTCACTATTGGAAAGATAACCAATGAATAAAATAAATTCTTTCATTTTGCTTTCTAAAAAAAATACGTAAATTCAACTTTGCTATTTTTACTGTATCAGGGATCAAACTCATGACCTTGCACTTGCCAGGAAGGCGCTTACACTAGTGGGCTAAATCCCCAACCTCTCTATCCAATTTCTTAGTGAATGATAAAATCAGGGGGCGTTCTGTAGGAGCTTTAGCTCAAATCTAAGCCAACACAATCCAAGTAACCAATGAACATAAGGAAACACACGATCTTAGTTAAAGCTGTATTTATCAAAAGCAACATTGAGATAAACCACACATCTAAATTTAGGCCTGGCTGCAGTACCCTGTTATGTGCCAACTTTTTTTGTTGTTGTTTTGACACAGGGTCTTGCTATGTAATTCAGCCTGACTTTGAACTCGCTGTGTAACCCAGGCTTGTCTTAAAACTGATGAAAATCCAGGTCTGGGTTACACATCAACATTTTAAAAGGAATGTTAAATGGAGATGTAAATTATTCCAGTGACTAAGAGTTTGAGACATGTGTTCTCTTTAAAGTTTTTTCTCCACTAGTAATCCCCACCTTCCCAATTATTCCAGTCTGACATCTGAGTCAGCTGAGTCTGACTCTTTTGCTCACACAATACCCCTCAGGAGCAGTACTTCCACCCATCTGTCTGTCTGTTCCACCTCCAAACTACCGCAGTTGTGCTCATTTTCCCCTTTCCTTGTAGCAATCAGTGGTTTTCCCCACAATTGCAGGTTCTGCTGATTTGCACATCCCCTCTCCCCTCTCCTACCTCTGCTCCACCTGGAAGCCAGTGTTAGCTTTCCAAAATAGACACCGGATCTTGTCATTCCCCTGCCCAAAAGCAAGCCAGTTTTTATACTAGTGTAGATACCTCTTGAAACGTGTCACACTTTGGATCATAGACATATTATGCTTCTCTGAGCCCTCTAACATACTCAGAAGTCTTAACACTATCTTCTTTGTGCAAGCTTTTCCTTCTGCCAGGAATATTAGGTATTCCCTTTTGCTCTGCTAGCACTGGCTTCAAATTCCCTTCAGTCTTTGCTTAAATGTCACTTCCTCATGGACTCTTTCTTTGACTCCCTGAAGCAGGCATCACCCTCTCACTGACAATATTCCTATCTCTTTCCCTTTTTCTTCATAGCATAAATCACAATTTGTAATTAATTAATCATTTGCAATTGTTTTGTTAATATTTTAAAAATTTTGTTAATGTTTAAAAATCTACTTCTGGCATCAGACTTTAGAGTGGTGGAAGAGGGCATTGGCCCTATCTGCCTTGTTTATTATGTTATCCCTAGTGCTAACAGGAAACATGCCTTACGCAAACATTCACTGAGTGGAAGGCATTGCTGTTAACAGCTGGGTGCCTGGTTTTATTTTCTTAAGTGTGATATGGTGTACTTACAGCAAGAAAGCCATTTTACAACAGAAGGAACAGTGACATTTGAAGTGCCACTTGTGGAGTATGCTTTGGGTAAAGTTCCTCTAAATCAGGTACATATAAATGTCAGGTCAATTACAAGTGTGATGTTCCTTTTTCTTTCTTAACCTAAATGAGGTGTTTTACCCAGTAAGATTGAGGAAGTAGGCAAGTAACATTGTATTTTAGACAAAGGAGCCAGCAGGTCATAAAACCTAACATCCTTGTACTGTCATGATGTACTTACTAATTATCTGGGAGACTGGTAAGGATTTAAAAATAATTTCTTAGGTAAGCCCAAAAATCATTTAACCTATCTCTGTAGCAGTTTTTTCTCAAGTACTCTTAGGCCCTGAAGAATATTAATTCTGTCAGTTAGGTCATAATTCAAATCTTACTGTAAAAAAACAGACACTTAAATAAATCAAATTTAAAACATCTTTAGCAATTTCAGAGTAACACATTTTAAGCAGTACTATTTTTAAATTTTCATCAAAATTCTAAAAAATCATTGCAGTCCTGACCTCTGATGCTCAGCCAGCCATAGAAAGGGAGAAAATGTTCCAGTGGTTGAGATTCTATGTCCAGAAGCTCCTGTTCATCCAGCACCATCCCTAATTGGTATCTGTTCCTGCTAACTTGGCTTACCTTGTCTTGCAGTGCTGAGCAAGCACTGTTCCAACTTGTCTGCTCACCACTAGCCAACCACATTCAAGGAGGGGCTTGTGCTTACCAGCCTCGTCCAAGAGTGGCCTGGGTGACTCATTAACTTCAGAAGGTGGTGCAAAGTAAACAAGTCACACAGGCATTTGTATAGT